TCTATCTATCTATCTATCTATCTATCTATCTATCTATCTATCTATCTATCTATCTATCTATCTATCTATCATAAACTTATGTCATTCTCTGTGATACCATGAGGCACCTGGAGAGCTTTGAATATTTGTGGGAAATCATTTGTTCTAGTGTGAGAAAATATAGGAAGTTCGTTAGAACATGACAGCTGAGAAGCTCCTAAGGGGAAATTTTATGTCAGAAGAGGAGAACACGGATTCTGATATTGAAACAGATCCCCATTCTTCATAGTTCAGAACTTCCCAGCTTCGGAAACACCCCCATATTGGTCCTAGAATCCCTTTTGGTCATCAGCGCCCCCTCCTGGTCCTGAGTGTCTCTGCAGGGAGGTTTCTGTGCAGGCTCACACTGGAGTTTCTCACTGTGTTCTGGCACAAAAATACATGGCTGTGTCCTCAGTTTGCAGATTGTTCAGTTTTAGGAAAACTTGGCTCTTGGAGGTGTCCCTGGTGATGCTGATTCGGGATTGGAGAGCTGAATTGTACTCTGTGTTTGTACCAGCCCATATTGCTCCCAGCCAGTCCAGACCCTTTCCTGGAGGCTGGCAGACCCAGTGTACATCACAGTCAGTTAGAGAGAACCCAGAGACAGTGCAGGTGAGAGACAGGGTCTGTGAGGGCTGCAGCAGGCCAGGTCCTGATTCCTTCAGCTGCACCTGGTACAGGACACCTGGGGAGAAACAAAATCATTATTAGTCATACATCCCATAATGATATACCTGGGTCCCTCTCTGAAACCCTGGACACTTACTGCTTGGCAAGGTCGCCAGGCAGAAGAGCAGCACCAGGACAGCCATGCTCTGTTGGAGCCTCCAGTGAGAAGGAGATGGGGCTGCTCAGCTAGGCCTGGGCTTTCAGCTTGAGCCTGAGGCTGCTTTGCATTGGGGGAGGATCCTGAGAGGATAAAAGGAGGCACAGGGCAAGGTTTCCACTCTTCCCTCAGCTGACTGTGATTTGCCTTTTGCTTCTTAGGGGAACAGATTATGGAAACTCAGGAATTCTGAGCCTGAGTCTGCTTTGCATTGGGGGAGGATCCTGAGAGGATAAAAGGAGGCACAGGG